CCCTTTTCAGACCACGTGTCATTCCCTAGAGTATCATATCTTTTTTTAACGGTCGTGCATGAGAAGACACATAAATATGGATACAACTCAAACAAAGAATCTTATTCTCAAGAGAATGACACATGGTCTGAAATGGGAAACATTACAGCCAAAGTAAAAAGGGTTTTGCATCATCACGTGTCGGCGCTATAATACAGCTTGGGCTTCCTTTGTTTGGATGGCAGAACAATAAAATCCCTTTGCTCTTGGCAATTGAATTCTTTCTCATGTAAAACGATTGTATTGTTCCTGCCATCTAACATGGCTGCCGTCACGTGATGGTGCAAAACCTCTATTGGATATATTTAGGGATCTCTGAGATAGCATAGATGGACCAGGTTTTCAATTTAACTTATTATCTTCCTTTCGTTTCAGCTCCGTGCGCTCCCAACCAGTTTCGCTGCGAAAATGGTCAGTGTATTGATGGTAATCCAAAATGTGATAACCACAAGAACTGTTCTGATGGCAGCGATGAAAAAGGATGCAGTAAGTTGGACAAAAATATTCCAATTAATCATCAAACTTACAGTAAACAACTGCGAACTAATTAAGAACCTTTAGGCTGAAATAACTCGGGCTGATTTCTCATTATGCATCCTCTATATATACACCTACTTGCAAGAACGTTGTCATACGAAAATAGAGCATTGGTGATTTAGTGGGATAGGAATTATATTAAAAAACAAAAGAAGATCACTGAAGTAGGTGTAAACATTTCAGCCTATCACAGAAAATCACGGGGTTTTTTTTGTGTGTGTGTTAACTGTATCTTTTATAGTATATGTATATCTTTATCACAAGTGTAAATTTTCTTGCTTTCTGATTGGTCGAGGGCCGTGGTAAATAAGAGGACTTGCCACGCAAGAGCAATTCGTGTTTATTGAATATTATTAACGAGCAGTTTTTGTGATCTGCAGCTACCTGTGAGCCCAACCACTTTCAATGTAAGATTGGAGGTTGCATCAGTGCTGAATGGCAATGCGATGGTCTCAGTGACTGCGGGGATGGCTCTGATGAAATAAATTGTGAAGCAAGTAAGTAAAACTAATACCCCGACTCTAAACCATCAAACAAAGAAATAATACTCTAGGGAATGACACGTGTCCTTAATGGGAAACCTATGGATAAAGTCATTTTCTTCCTAAACAAGTTATGGTGTAAACTAACGTTTTTCAATTTTTCTAGGAAATGTTACTGACAAAGCAGCTCTCCGCAAGCTCAATTCTCAACTCAGCGCCAAAATGGTTGGCGGAATTGTATCGTCAATAGTCGTTTGTCTTCTGCTGTTCGCGATATCGTTACTTGTCTGGCGTCGACTGAAGCACACTCCTGACAGTAACATACCCCACGATATTGGTCTCGTAGTCACCCCAACCAATAATAGGATAACTTCTTCGACTTGTTCGAGTTTATCACACGCAAGTCTTTATACGAAACGAAATGGCGTAGCGTCGTCCGTAGCGTCGAGCAAGAGACTCAATATCATATCTAACATCACTAATTCTGGGACGCTACATACGGCGTACGATCGTGAACATTTGACAGGAGCGTCATCGTCGTCGTCTGCATGTACAGTTATAAGCGCTTATCCGAGGGAGACGCTCAATCCCCCTCCGTCACCCGTGACGGAGCGGTCGTTATTCTCGTCTAGGTCACGTGGGTATTGTGATTCCGTCATGACTCCTTCTACTTGTCCGAGTCATCGTTACTACCGTGCGCACATGCCGCCGCCACCCACGCCAGTCTCTACTGATGCGGAATCATCTGTCAATCATCCGCTTCATCGGCATCATCGGAGATCACATAATGTACGGAGCAAAAAATTTAACCGATACCCGGACTCGAATTGTACCGACGTGGCGTACGACTCGGACTTATTCGCTCCTCCCCCGACACCAAATACGAACTACTTATCCGAGGCGACTCATTTCTCGGAAAACGAATGCCCTCCGTCGCCGACTATAACAGAAAGGAGCTATTTTCATCCTTACCCCCCTCCCCCATCGCCCGTGACAGACACGCCGTCATTGGTGTGAGAAGTAATTATGTTATAGATAATATTAGTTATCTAAAATATTAATATGAATTAATCTTTATCAGACCGATAAAGTAATCAGAGAATCCGATGTAGGAAGGTCGCGTTTTAGTAGCCTTATAAAGCAAAGCAATCCTCAGTCAAATTGTCCACGTGATCAAATTGACTTATCACGTGACGAATAGCGAATCACGTGACTGGTAGGCTGCGTGGGGGTTGGGACTGTCCTAAAGGGAGACAAAAAAGGTTTCTAAATAATCTGGGGCAGAGAAGTGGTTGGCTTTAGGATTATCTCCTCTAAGCCAGTTTTTTCTGTGCCTTTCTAAAAGTCAATGCCATTTCCATGGTTTTAGTTGCGTTGCGTTACGTTAACTAGCGAAACACCAAACTTCACCCGGAACGAATTCTACGGATTCTTTGATTATTGCTGCATTACCCAAGAACCTTTGCCGTGAAGTTTTTAATTTTGTTGTCTATTTTCTCCATGATTCGTTTTGCCTGTCGAGTTTATTCATTGATTTTTGATTTGAATGAGAATTGTTTTTGACTTCGAATACCGCTTTAAGCCTTCTTTTATATCCAAATGCTTCGTATTTTAAAATGTTTTTATTCCTGACAATTTTTAGACTTAAATTACTTCATTTTTCTCCGTCGCGATCAAGTAAGTCAGCGGTATCGCAAACAAATCTATGCGCCTTGCCGTCACGCGTTTTAATTTTAGTTACGCAAAGAATCTTGGGTAACGCGAAATATTTAAATACCTATATGATATTGTAAATATACTGTAAATAGTATATATATAAATAGTTGTATATGATATATTCTCCCTTGCTCCCCTATAAGAGTTTTACAAATTTTAAATTTCTGGGAGAATTCCTAAATTAATCAACTAACTGTTGATAAACCAAACATAAGCTAGAGTGCATAACATATTTCCGTGAAATACTTTGTAAAAATTTGCACAAATTAGTAATTGACCTCGGTATACCGTAGACCTATAAAACTTTGCACTAATTTGTACGCTTTTGTTAGTTAACTTTTTCATGGATATATGGTATGCACACTACTAAAACGCCATCTTGTTCTGCCTGCAAAGGATCTTGGGAAATTTAAAATCCTTTTGCGTGCCAATTCAAAAATGGCGGTAAAATTTAACTGAGTTGTTTACCTTAGATGACTCGCTGTGATTGGCTGAAATGGTGGTTACAATAATTATTAAGCCGCTTATCTGTAGAATACCTTTTGATATTTTGCTAAATTAATATATTTTTTTCAATAAAAAGTATTTGTACAAACCGTGATTTTAAAAAGATACGAGAGGCTAGATTATGTGATGTGAAACTGTAGGATTGAATTTTTCACTATGACCTCATGCGAAAAAAAACCTTTAAATGCATGCAAAAATTTCTAATATATTTTAATTCGATCGTGGACTGAGTGCAGATTTCTTAGCCAATGGCTATTAATGCTATCGTAAAAACAAGGGTGTTTATTATTATTATTAATTTATTTAGGCTTTTGAAAAGTATTCCGTCCGCCATTGTGATATTTGTGAATTTTTCAGTCGGTCAATCGGCAATGAGTCAACGTTTTTGGCATTTTTTGGCGCGAAACAAATTTAGTCCCTACAAGGAAAAGAAATGGACCACCTGAGAGTCATCTGTTTCCTCTGGTAATGTTTTCCCATACCAGACCCTGCGTCACTCTTGAAAATAAAGTCTTAATAACTTTCACCATGATAAATAATAGTAACAAAAAAAAGCTAAAAAAAGCATGGTGAGGGACACACAAAAGAGCGAGGCTCCATATTATTAAGTTCTGTTTGAGTTGTATCCATATTTTTCCGTGTTTTCCGTGTTCTATTTCGTAACCGTTCAACGAAGAAATGCTGCTGTAGAGAACGACACATGGTCTGAAATGGGAAATCAAAGGGAAATGTTGACTCCTTAACTCCGCTCAATTTTTTTTTTTTTTTTTTTTTTTTTTTTTTT